CACACCAGCCGCACACCCCAGACGTGTGTGTGTGTGTGTGTGTGTGTGTGTGTGTGTGTGTGTGTGTTGTGGTGCGTGGGTGTGTGTGCGTGCGTACGGTGCGGTGGTTGTATGTGGCGCGGCGCGCGTGTGTGTGTGGTGGTGCGTGGCGGGTGTGTTGTGTGTTGTGTGTGTGTGTGTGTGTGTAGTGTGTTGGTGTTTGCAGTTTAGGGTTTGCGTTGCGATGCGCGTGGCTTCATGGCTGTGACGTCATGTTGCTTTGAATTGCTAGTCTGGGCGTTCAAACCACTATTTGTCTTGGCCCTCGTTCACAGGGAGCTCCGTGCGTTACATGGGAGAGGGCTTACGAACACTCATGATGCAACGAGCATGAAGACTTCGAATGGATCGGCTAATTCAACTCGCTTATTATAAACGGCTAGACACGAATTATTTCGATTACTTTAGCGAGATCGCTGTTTCTTTATGCGATGTGTTTACGTCAGTTCTTATTTTGTTTTTATACGTATCGTGCTGTATGTAGTTACGTTATTGTTACCACAACATATCAATAATACGAACGAGGCTATATAATTACAGCATCTGCGGTAGCAAGGTTGACTAAGACGTCGGCTGTTGCCATGATTATAGGCGTAGACAAGAGATATCTGGCTAGATACTCATATGATATTCAATGGCAGCGTGATTGGTTCCCATACTGCGCATGTCATGTGTACTTTACTGTATATGTCAACGTGAAGGACCTTTTACTAAATTGTTGTTGTTATCTTTGAATATTTACTTTAATTTATGGTAGGCTAGGAGATAATAAAAACAAAAACCAACAAGCGTTTAGCAGTATTGGTTTGCATTAAGAAATAGGTTCTTTAATTGAATCGATTTGATTAAATTTCCAATCGTTGTGTGTGTGCCATACACAATATGACTGGCAGCTATTTTTCATTAATTCGCCATAGTATATTTTTGATCGCACTGCGAGGCACGTGAAGGATTAATTAAGCGCCGTACCTGAGAAGGTACTCACGTCATGAGACGTCGCACACACGCCGCTCACGCACACACGTCACACACACGCGCTCACGCACACACGCGCTCACGCACACACGTCGCACACACGCGCTCACGCACACACGCGCTCAAGCACACACGCGCTCACGCACACATATCGCGCACACGCGCTCACGCACACACGATAAAAAAAATCGTGAGCCCCCTTAGGTCTTTGCCCCCACCAATCCAAAACTGCTTCCGACGCGCCTGCGCGCACATACACACACGCACGCGGTGCACATTATCATACACACACGCACACGCACGTGCACATACACACACGCACGTGCACGCACGCACGCACGTACGTGCACATGCACACACGCACGCACGCACGACAGTGGTAACTATCTGATATGGTTAGGGTTAGGGTTAGGGTTAGGGTGTGAGGGTTACGGTTAGGGTTAGGGTTAGGGTTAGGGAGTAGGCGTAGGCGACTTCCTAGACTCGTTAGTGAAGTAGGCGAGGTACGGTCCGTCATATTAGCAGTCCGTCCTATATTATCTTACTCCTGATATTAGATAGTACCAGCAGAGCATATAAAATTATAAATCACGTTGATTTATATGCTTTGGTACCAGGGTACGTTCCGGTATACCGGACCGTACCCAGGGTACGTTCCGGCAGTACTCTGGGTGACATAGACCCTCTCAGCATTAGTGGAGGCAGAGAAATAATAACATCATTGAAAGTAATTGTGAATTCACTACTCCAAGGAGCAAGGACACCAATACAGTGGAATTTAATGTCAATAAAGGCTGCGCATTTATAAAGACAAGTATTACATGTATTTTGCATTTACCTCATACTTTGCCTTTCGTGTGATGACGTTATTTTTTATACAAACGGGTAGACTGTCGTTCCCACCTAGTGAAATATCCTGAGGGAATCTGCTATATTTTAGAATAGATCTGATCAAGAGCGTATAAAGAAGTTCTTTCTTTATACGCTCTTGATCTGATGTTATCCTAAAGACTTTGGTTTAGGAGAGCCTTTAGAGTTTTCTCTGTGGTTTGATTAGTAATCAAAATGTTAGGAACAGTGCAATTTTAGTAAATGTGTTGGAAAGTATATCGCTTTATCTCGGTTCCAGTTAGATAATTCAATTTAGATATTTTACTTTGCAACGGATGTTAGTTGTACTGGCAGTCCTGGTTGTCTACAGAAAAAGTCGTCATTAGTTACGAATAATTAGTAATACGATAGTCTAGAAACCGTGACAACTTTACGAAATTACGTTCAGGCAATATATGTATTAACGCTGCAGCTCTCTTTGGAAGCATTCGGCCTTATACTGGTGCAGTGATTTTCTACGATCCTCGTATATCGTCTAAGTTCCTAATTCTGTACTGAATCTGTTAGCAACCCGAGAGCGTTAGATTCCAATGCAACTTTGCCCGAGCAGTACTTCGAGATAATAATAATAATAGAAAAGAGAAAAATAATATAATTATAAGTAGTATTCAGTCATTTTGCTTCCCTACGCATTGTAGTATATTTACGGGAAAAATGTGTGGTGCGGTTTTATATTATGTTATTATATTATATTATTATATATATTATTATTATATTATTAGTATTATATTATGTATGTGTATATAAATATAACTGTTATAGTGTGTAGCAGTTGAAGCCAATGGCGTCAAACGTTTTCTTATCTCTGAGCACGCCAGCATCCTGTATCAGGTGTACAACTGTAAAAGTTGTGTGTAGTGTATAACTGTGTAAGCACGAGTAAATACTTTCTTTATTGCAAGTGTCTCTTGGCTTAATAGCAGGAACTTCTCATACGTCGAATACTATCTCAGGTATACGCGGCTAGATTTTAATGCGTTCACGTCTTCCAGTGTGATTCCAAAATAATATGGCGATGTAATGAAAAATAGCTCGTTACAGTCAGTATTTGTGTATGGTATTAACAACTATTGGACTTTATTATTCTGATTTCATATTAAAGAACCTATTTTTAATCAAAATCCATATACCGCTAAACGCTTGTTTGTTTTTTGTTTGTTTTTATTTATCTTCCTAGGCTATCTCATTTAAATTAAAGTATAATATTGCAAAGTAACAACAAGCAATTTAGGTCTGAAATGTCGTTCACGTATGACATATACATATACACATGACATGCGCAGTACTGTGGAACCAATCAACGCTGCTAATTGAATATCGATTATGATATTCATAATTCTAGCCAGATATCTTTTGTCTGCGCCTATAATCATGGCAACAGGCCGCCCGCGTTAGTCAACCTTTGCCTACCGCATGGTTATGTAAATTAATGGTCTCGTTCGTAATTATTGATATGTTGTAGTAACAATAACGGTAACTTACAGTACACAGACTACGGTATAAAACAGAACTAAGAACTGACGGTAAACACATCCATAGGGCTAGCAATCCCGCTAAATAATTCGGAAATAATTCGTGTGCTTAGCGTTTATAATAAGCGAGTCGAATTAGGCGATCCTTCGAAGTTTCATGCTCGTTGTCATCATGGAGTGTTCGTAGCCTCTCCATTCTTTCCACGAGAGTCCCTGTGAACGAGCAAATGACAAATAGTGTGTTTGAACGCGACAAGCAATTCACAACCTGACGTTCACAGCATGAATGCGCACGCGCACGCACGCAGACACACAAATGCAAACACGCACACACACGCACGCACACACACACGCGCGCACACACACATACGCACGCACGCACACGCACGCACGCACACACACACACACACACACACACACACACACACACACACAGACAAACAAAGAGAGAGAGAAGAACGCAATTTCATACCAACAACATATGGTATGATGCAAACAAATGGCGAGCCGCAATAGTTAGCTGGTCATGACCGCTGATCCCCTCAGTGAAACCCTTCTCGCAGCCGCCCGGTGGTCACGACCCCAATATGAGAGAAGACACCTAGAGTAGCATAGATATAGAATAGAAGATATTTCTGTATTCTATATCTATGTGTCTAGTTACCATGCATCTAGCATAAGCGTCTGTGCATCCGCAACAGGCAGTAAAAGCGAGCGCATCTGCGTCTCCTATACGTGCGTCTTCACCTGAGCGTAGTTGCTGTTGTCGTACTCGCCGTTCAGATTAGCAAATTGACAGCTTTTGTACCACCAAGCTCCGAGGTACTCCTGCGCGCAGTGCGTCGAATGTTCGTCGTTATCCTGATCTCTTGTGCTGAATTTCTGCCCGCTGTGATATGTCATCGCATCGTCTACGGAGACGAGGAACGCATAACATTCACGAATATTCACTGATCAACGTAAAATCAACGTATAACGTCTGAAGTCAACGTAAAATATAACGGCTTAGCAATACACAGTGTGGTTTGTTACCGATGAACAGTGCGCATGCGCATGCATGGTCGCGAACGTAAAATCTATCAGAGACAGAGTCTATCTAGTATATTAATTATATTGTGGTGACGAGAAATGATTGTGAAAGGGTCGTGAAAGGGGTCGTGAATCGTGAATGATTGTGAAAGGGGTCGTGAATCAGTGTGATCGTGAATCGTGAATGATTGTGAAAGGGGTCGTGAATCAGATCCTCTCGGGAGAAACGGAAAACTTGTGTATAGATTAATTAATCTGGTCGTAATACTGAAACATAAAATCGCCTATAAATATTCAATATGTAGCGGGCAAATTGAGTTGTGTTGGATGTTTTTTTTTGGTTAGAGAGCCTTACTTGCGTTTCCACGGTAGGAGCCTAGTGTAAGCCTGTATTTGCTGGCTTCGGTGTCCACGTGAAACTTGTCGTAGACAGCAAACCTCTTGTTTTCGTCCTGGTCCTCGACATCCACGCGCAGTTCAGATGGCGCCATTGTCGTGAGAAGATGTATGTTGTCGAGCCCTGTACAAATTGCACTTACTACTCAGAGATTTTATGCACAACTATAGTATAGCAGTCAATATGCGTATGTGTGTTAGCCACGGACATATTTCATGTGGAGAATGTGATAGGGAATGCATATATACGAGAAGCGTACATAGAGATTGATCTCGGTCGAGACAGCCTGTAACTGCAATGTAAAATCGGTTCTTCATGCCTTCGAGATGTAATGTCGAGTAGAAGGATTATGGTCTCATTTATTGCGTGGGAGTTTAACCATAGACTTACAATATTGTTAGTCTATGGTATACCCTAAGTTATTTATATACACGATAAAAAAAACTCCGGGTTTCTCGAACGTAGCCCTAATAAAACCTGGTTAATTGCAACCAAATTGAAACTAGGGCTTTTAAAATCTGGTTAATTGATACCACATTTTTTCGCGTAGCTATTAGGTCAACTGGCGCTAGAAATCGCGCATGCCATGCTGGATCCCAGCTTCCCCCCTTCCCCCAATATACGAAGCATCAGCATCTTTATGGGTGATTCTGCCAGCTGTCGGTGCATAAGCTATGGCTGTGATCCTACCTAGCCAAAACTCTCCATCCAGATTGCCAAATCCTTCCTTGTAGGACGCCCAGACGCGATAAAAGTCGACCGATCCGTCAAAACGATGCTGGAACACCTGTTTGTGCGGAAATATACAGGTTACTCATCTTCTAGTATACATTGAATGTACGGAGGGATTCCAATGTGAAATGTCTCTGATATTTACAGGTTACGTGTATATATATATACTCATCTTCTAGTATACATAGAATGTACGGAGGGATTCCAATGTTAAATGCCTCTGATATTTACAGGTTACGTGTATATATATACTCATCTTCTAGTATACATTGAATGTACGGAGGGATTCCAATGTGAAATGTCTCTGATATTCACGGGTTACGTGTATATATATACTCATCTTCTAGTATACATAGAATGTACGGGGGGAGTTCCAATGTTAAATGCCTCTGATATGTACAGG